GTTAACATTACCAATTGGTTGCGTCGCTTTGATACATTTCATAGCATGGACCCAGTTTAAGCCAGCTCCAAACTTATCTTATTTAATTTATGAAAAATTAATTAAATCACAGGGCCAATTAACCAAGTTCTATTTATATTTCTCTCACTGGTAAGCTAGGCGACTGCCACATATTTACACTAGTTCTAATAAAATTTAAAATCATAATGTCCTTGGTAAAGTTTAAATCATTATTTAAATTTAGATTTAAGTTCTTTCAATTCATTATACTTTAATAAAAAGTAAAAATGTTATTTAAAGGAAAAACCTTGAAAGAATAACATTATACTGTTGGCTAAAACTCCCAGAAGGCATTTAAAATCACCACAAACAAGCCTTCGTCTCAAAATAGTTTATAGGATTTCATACTAATGATGATATATTTAACAAATTAAAAACTTAAAAGTAAAAATGCTGTCCATTTTTTATATTTAAGAATTATATATTACCTTGCAATGCAACATTTTAAGATAAAGATATTTAGTAACTATTTTACATAAATAGTTAGGTATATTCCTTTGATAAGAAAGATAAAGTTTAATAACATTAAAATAATTAATGTCAAATAGTGTTAGCACACATAATTAAAAAGATAAACAGTTAAAAAATATGAATGAATGCACTTAAGCTCCAACCTAGACGCTAAAAAATTATCTGGCATTAAGTTCTATGTTACTTATTTTTTACAGAGCTGTGTCGTTTGATTTAGTAAAAATTATGAGAAAAATAATCATGACAATGTATTTAAGCAACTCTTCTAAAAAAAGTGACCAAAATATGTAAACAACAGAATAAAAATCAACTGGAAAATAAGGTAAATCAAACAGAGTGCATAGCCAGATCTTTCAACAAAAAATAAGCACCTTCTAAGTACTTTTTAAGCACACATAAAATATTTTTAATCACTTTACAAAAAAAATCATAATTATTATCTTAGCAGTAGTAAAAGTTTTTAGAACGACAAACAACACGGAGAGAAAAAATCTCTTTTTAAAATATATAAAATTAAGCACCTTCTACAGACCCCAAACAAAAAAAAGCACCTTTAAGGGCTTTTAAAAAACATAAATCAAATATAAGCACCTTTAAGTACTTTTTAAAAACGATATGCACCCTGTCAAATTACTTTTGTATCTATTTGTTCTTTTGTGGAGTGTCTATATCAGGTTATTCTCAATGATCTCCAGAAAGGCCGGGATAGCCTGGTCGGTAGGGCCCATGTCTAAGAGTTCGTGGGTTTGATCCCCGCCGGCCAAAGACTCCCCATGTAGTAAATGGTGACTGATGCATGTTAAATCTGTCGAGTTGCAAAGTCCTCCATGTTCCCATAACAAATCAATACCTCTAGGGATACTGATCCAGCAGTTTCCTTGTCCTCTGGATTGGTTCAAAATTACAAGACTACGGAGTTGAAGATTAGTAGTCGTAAACCCAAAAATTGGGTCGGCTGTTCAACGAGGGATATAAAATAAAATGATCTCCAGAAAAACAAGTGAAAGGTGGGACAAACAGCATTTTTATCAATAACTTTCCATACTAATGCAATATATAATGTAACATGTTTTTATAGAACCAAAAACTAAAAAAAAAAAGTTTTTGGAAGAAGTTTATATGGTAATCGAGTAATTATTTTCAAGATTTAAAAATTAGATTTAAATTTTATATGAGCAGAATCAGAAACTAAGTTTGTAGTATTTATTCTGCATTATATGCAATAAAACATTTTGCATTCTTTTAGTTGATTTATATTAATTCTAATTTAATACATAAATTCACGTTCCCCATCACTTGGACTTCGAGCTTAGGACTTTTCATACCTTACCATCTCACTCTATTTATGGCCAGATATTTTGTCTCTCTCCATGCTTTCAATTCGCTTACAATTGTCCCGCGACAAGTATTTCTAGGTCTTCCTCCTTTTCTATTGCCCTGAGGGCTCCAATCAAAAACTAGTTTTTCTAAATGTTTCCGGTTTACGTAGAACATGACCAATCCATTTCCATTTCTTAACTTACAGTTCAATCGGTTTCTGTTTTGTTTTTCTAAGGAATTCTGCATAACAAATTTTATGGAACCGCTCGATATGCAAGATTCTTCTTTAACTATTGTTCATAAATAATTGAAGTTTATTCGTGTTATTCTTATTGGCAGTGCCATGTCTCAGATCCATATAGTAGGACAGATTTAACGTTAGTGTTGACAATTTTAATTTCTTATGTTTTTGTTCTTCAATAATTTATTAAGAACAGCATAATTGATTTGTTTAATCCATTTAGTACATCATCACCAGTTCCTCCTTTGTTGTTCATTATACTTCTAAGATATGTAAAACTATTTACCCCCTCTGGTTTATTATATTCTAAGAATATGTCATTTAATTGTTTAGGAATAATTTTCAAAATTTTAGTGTCCTATTGCTTGATAACAAGCCCTGTTTTCTTTGCCCATATGTTTAAAATGTTTGTGTTTTTTGCATGTCTTGAAAAGTGTACTTCACTAAAAATAAATCGCCTGCAAAATCAAAATCAGGAAAGATACTTCAGCAAGGTTCCACTCGTGTTTAAAAACGTTTGAGAATCAATCGTGGAGATTGGTAGGCAAGCAAGCAGCGGGGGGAAGACACCCAGTAATAAATATATTTATAAATAAAAGATAATTTTACAACCATAAGACTATACAGAGAAAAACACAAATTTTCTTTTCTATTAGAATAAATAGTAGAATTGTAGACAAAGGACTTTTATTTTCCATCAGAAAAAGTTCAAATAGAAAAAGCAGTAAATCTGAAGTAATGTTTGGCAATCACTGAAGTAAATAAAGATGTTTGCAGATTTGGCACGATTTAAATCACTTGATATTTTTAAAAAAAAATCATTTACGTAAAACAATCATGATTTTTGTTGAGAAAATCAGTGATTTACATCAATCATATTTTTCAAAATAAAACTTAAGTCAAAAATAGTTTTATACAATATTATTTATAAATACATTCTTTTGAAAGTGGATCGTTTTTAATTCTGATTTTATTGAAGAGTTTATACAAAAAAATAATGAAAAGAATATTATATTTCAAAATAGACTAATAAATAAATGAAATTAGAAACTAAAAAGGGATAAAAATGGCTTAAAATTGTTAAATTATATTTTCCCGTTAACTGAGTGTAAAATAATTCGCTGGTAATAAAATATTTTAATCATATCAATTTAGTTCTTTTGTTTATTTCATTACGAGTGCTACTAGAACTTATTAAATGCATAATGCATAATTATCAAGAATGAAAAGGTCTTGTTTTGTACAGAGAAACTTAAAATAACTTTTTGCTAATCTATTCTGATGGAAACTAATGTTCTCTTTGTCAGATATTTAACTGAAAAAATTGTCGTCCTGTCATAAAAATTTTAATATATTTAGCGTGAACAGAAAAAACTATGATTTTAAACTAAAACTATGATATGAAAACTATTGAAAAAACTATGATATGAAAACTATTTCTCAGTGAATAGTTTGTAACAATTAAACAAAATCTTTCAAAAATTTTTGTTCGAAATATTAACTGTATCAGCTATATTATTGTTTTAAATAATATTAAATTATAATTATTTGGCTGATAAATATAAAAAAAAGCATAAAAATAAAAAATTCTGATTTTAATCCACGAAATCAAAATTAAATCGCACAAATCTGATTTAAAAAAAAAAAATTTTTTTTTTTGTTTAAATCATGATTTCTGTCAAGGACTATGTCCATCTGGAATAATCTAATAATTCGAAAAATTAAAATAAAAAAAGTTCATTTGAGGATTTATGGAAAAATTACATTTGTATATTTTGGCTATTTAGTTAACTATTATAATTTGATTTTTATTTTAAAAATAGAATTTAAATGATTTTCCTTCAACAACATAGATATAATAATAATAATAATTTTTAGCAACTGTTACGTAAATATATTTAGAGTCAATGATTTTTAAAAGTACTCAAAATCCATTAAAGCACATCATCATGTAATATTATCCATTGCAAATAATTACACAATTGAAATGATTTAAACTGGCAAATAACATTTAATGAAACCTTATTTACAAGTACTAATAAAATCATACAATTCCCAGATCTCAAAGCAATTAGGTGAAATTAAAATTACAATTAACTTTAGGTGATTATATGTGTTTAATTATAACTAAATTAACTAACTTTACGTGTTTATTTGTAAAAGTTGATGAATAAATGAAACAGATAGTAACTATTTTACTAGAAAAATTTAAAAAAAAAAAATAGCTGGAAAAATTAACACTATGTATCCAAACGAGAAGTTTTATTGATAAATAAGTTCTTTAAATTTTAAACATATCTCTTAAAAATATTTTCATACAATGTAATGATATAAAATACACATTAATGATGTTTTGAGAAGAATTAAAAATAATAATAATTTGGCATACACAGTTCACGAAATAGATTAAAAAATAAAATAAACAAAATTCAAATTTATCAAAATTTTACAGATAAAAGAAGCAAATAATAAAATCAGATAAAAAAATAGATAAAGTAAGCACAGTAAAAGCATTTAAATAAAATCGTATATAAAACAAATAAAATAATGTTTAACTAACGATTAGATATTCTATGACAGAATAATTGTCAAACCTGTCAAATTTGTTTACAAATAAACTTTTGACACTTTATACTGATTAAAACAAATACATTTATTTGAGATGGATAAAATTGATCATACAGGGTGATAAAAGTAAATTAAATATAACTAAAAACTTTTCAAATTAATTATTGAAGATATTTATAAAACTGATGTTATGTCGCCAAGTTAGGAAATGAGCGGCGATTCGGCGCGCATCAACAAAAAAAGAATCGCTATTACGAGACGTGCAGCTTAAAATCGGGTATTATCTTCATTAAAAAATAAACAATACAAATTACATAAACACAATTACGAAATAACTTACTTGATTCGCAAATCCCTTGTTCCTGAAATTAGTGCAGAAAGATCAGCTTCGATTACTGTTGATGTTATACAGGAGTTCACAGACACAACACCGTTTGTTCGAAATAATTTGAATTTCTTTCAATCCAAGCACATTTGCACTATTTTAAGCATTTATTAAGGGACTTGAATGCACAAATGAGCTCATCCAAAGCGGATTATCGCTCTATTTCGGTAAATAAACGATAAAAAATACATTCAAATTCACAACATCGAAGAATAGTCTTGTTTTCATTCACTGATATCCACTATGGCCGACCGTAGGGTTGCCATAGTGTAGTAAAGGGTGTGTACAAATCCCACAAACGCAGAGTAATCGCTCTTATGCAGATTTATCTTTTGATCGCCAATCAAATATTTAATAGACTTCATTTGTGTCAATCATTGTATCAACATCTTTCATCAATTCCGCGAGTAGTCGATTTGTTTTACACATAGTTGATAAAAAATTCATCGATATATAAAAAGAAAACCGATCCATCATTTTCTTTTTGTATTTTACTAGAATTTATTTCGAAGATTTTTTATTTATTATAGGAATGAAAGACACGCTAAATTATCTTTAGGCATCTTCTATTTGTTTTTTTAAAACGCCTCTTTGTTAAGATAAGAACAATTTCAAAGAATAATTGTTTTTTATTATTCGTTTGTTATTTACTTTGTTCATTTCGCTTCAAGCTTTAAATAATGAATATCGTATTTTCAAAAATGAAAACGATTTTTTATTTATTTCAATAATAAAATACTTAAATCTAGAATTTATCAATCAAAATTATTAAAATTTATGCTCTAGTTGTTGTCCAATATTTTAAACACATAAAACGAGTAAAGATTAAAAAAAGGGTTTTTTAAGTTTTTGTTATTATTTTACTATGTTAAAAAAAAAAAATTTCTTTCAAATTATGTAATTGGATACCTGCAAGTGAGGTCATTGTTGGTAAATCCTGGCATTTGTCTCTTCAGAAACCAATCAGGTTAGCCACACGCTCATGACGTCGCTAGCAAGTATCCAATTATTTCTTGTTTAAATCACGTGTAGAGCCCCTGAATTAGACTCACTAGTAGAATCACTAGTAGAGCCCTGATAGTATAGGAGCCTTAATCACATGGTTAGACATAATCATGTCACTTCTTCTCGAGTTGCAATGGCTTAAATATAATTTTTCATTTTATTTATTTTTTTCTTCTTTTATTTATTTATTTATTTATTTTTTAAGTTAGCTGATAAAAATTATTTTTATCTTAGTCGCGATGTCATAATGGTTAGTGCTTTGAGTTGTCATTATACAAAATTATTGGTTCAGCCACAGCTACTGATTGAAGCTCACCCACTTTAACAACTTGGTAGCAACTTGCTCGGAAAGTAAATGCGGCTGATGCGCGATGCTGACCGCCATGCCGTTGATCTCAAAATTATGAAGATATGACGGCATCAGCCAACAATAGGCTGTGGTGGAAATGAGTTGTTTTTTTACTCATTTGCCATTTAGGTATGAAGATCCTAGTATGGGGAAATGAAACAATAAGGCTTAATGAAAACAATTTATTACTTTTTGTAATGCGATTTATATAGTTAGTTTTATTATTATTAAATATCATAATTAAAAAGTATTTCTGAAATTTAATTAATTAAGTTATTTATTTATTTGTTGGTTTAGAAGATGGCAAACAAAATTTAAATTATATCACATGATTGGCTACCAAATTAAATTATAATTAATTAATAATTAATTTCTCTCACTTTAGACGATATGTTTGATAAAATAGGATTGCTAAGCGTGATGTTCAAAAACATACCTATTCTTTCTTCCATTTTTTTTTTTTTTTGAAAATATTTAGCCTTATTGTTTTTAGCGCAAAATTATTTTAAATCAGGCCAAGCAGTTTTTATACATATCTGACTTAGTTCTAAAAGAAATGTATTTTCAGACTAGATTAAAAATTGATTATGATCGTAAAAAAACGATTTTTGAAGTAGAGCAAAAGCTCTAAAATTTCAAAATGCCCATCTTTTAGCATTTTTCCTCAGAGAACTCGCGTCTAAGCCCTCGAGGGAGCATCCCCGGTGTGTTATATGAAACTGCTCCCCTCCCCCTCATATCTTTCAAATGAAAAACAATTTCCCCGAAAATCCCCTTCCAAAGAGCAGCGAAGTAACAGTTGCTATGGTGTCCACACGCGCAAATGCTATCACGAAAGTTCTGAATATATTTGATTGATCTCTTTCCCAAAAGAAAGCTCTTAAAGTTCTAGTAATAGAAAAATGGATACCAGGAATGGATTTTAAAACTTTAATCTTTAATTCCTCGCTGACTTTTATTTACATCTACTCACTTCAAAGATTTTTCAATTTCTCTGAATAGTTTGAGAAACGAAAAAAAATATAAATATATGTACATGAGTTTTGCTTTCTTTTCATTTGAGTTTAAATGATAGATATTTAAATGTAGATATTAATATCTTTCTGGCATAGATAAATGCTTTTAAAAATTTTATAAGATTTGAGTTAGAAAAAAAAAAGGTAAATATGTTACTTTTAAAATTATAGTAATTCCATTTTTTATTATAATGCTATTTAAAGAAATAAATTTATACAAATAATAGGTATGTTATCTTTGTAGGTTTATAAATTGTTAATCAAATGTAGGTTTATAAGTAACTGTTAATATTAGTAACAATTAATGAAAGTAACAGTAAGTGCTTAGAAGTAATAGTGCCCATGATGTTCACAGGCGCAAATGCTATCGCGAAAATTCTGCATATATTTGATTGATCTCTTTCCCAAAAGAAAGCTCTTAAAGTTCTGTTATTAGAAAAATGTATACCAGGAATTTGATTTTAAAGCTCTAATCTTTAATTTTTGGCTAACTTTTATTCACATCTACTTCAAGATTTTCAATTTCTTTGAATATTTTGAGAGATCAAAAAATACACATCATTTTACTTCTTTCTTCGTTTGAGATCAAATGATTGATATTTACAAGCAGCTTTTAATATCTTTCTGGCATGGATAAATATTTTTACAAATTTTATAAGATTCGAGTCAGAAAACTAAACAAAAGTACAATAGGTTACTTTTAAAATTATAGTAGTACCTTTTCTTATTATAATGCTATTTAAAAAAATTAATTTATGTAAATAATAGGTAGGTACGTTATTTTTGTAGGATTATAAATTGTTAATTAAATGTAGGTTTATAAGTAACTGTTAATATTAGTGACAGTTTAAAAGTAACAGTAAGGGCTTAGAAGTAACAGTTGCCATGGTGTTCACAGGTTCAAATGCTATCACGAAAATTCTGAATACATTTGATTGATCTCTTTCCAAAAAGAAAACTCTTAAAGTTCTAGTAATGGAAAAATGGATACCAGGAATGGATTTTAAAACTTTAATCTTTAATTCCTCGCTGACTTTTATTTACATCTACTCTCTTCAAAGATTTTTCAATTTCTCTGAATAGTTTGAGAGACGAAGAAAAATATAAATATATGTATAAAAAATAATAAAAATAATAAATAAAAATAATAAAAATAATAAATAAAAAATAATAAATAAAAGTATACACATCATTTTACTTTTTTCTTCGTTTGAGATCAAATGATTGATATTTAAATGCAGCTGTTAATATCTTTCTGGCACAGATAAATGTTTTTAAAAATTTTATAAGATTTGAGTCCGAAAACTAAAAAAAAGTACAATATGTTATTTTTAAAATTATAGTAGTTCCTTTCTTACTTTAATGGTATTTAAAAAATAAATTTATACAAGTAATAGGTACGTTATATTTTTAGGTTTACAAATTATTAATTAAATGTAGGTTTATAAGTATCTGCTAATATTAGCAAAAGTAACAGTAAGGGCTTGGAAGTAACAGTTGCTATGGTATCCACTGGTGTAAATCCTATCACGAAAGTTTTGAATATATTTGATTGATCTCTTTCCCAAGAGAAAGTTCTTAAAGTTCTAGTAATAGAAAAATGGATACCAGGAATGGATTTTAAAACTTAAATCTTTAATTCCTCGCTGACTTTTATTTACATCCAGACACTTCAAGATTTTCAATTTCTTTTAATGTTCTGACAGTTGAAAAAATATACATGAATTTTGCTTTCTCTTCATTTATGTTCAAATATTGACATGATACATATGACTGCTAGTATTTTTCTGCCTTAGACAAGTGTTTTCATAAATTTTATAAGACTTGAATCGGAAAATTGAAAGAAAAATATCGCATTAGTATGGTACTTTTAAAATTATAGTAGTCCTATTTTTTTTAATGGTATCTCAAAAAATAAATTAATACAAATGATTAGTATGTTATTTTGTAGGTTAATTAATCGTTTTTATTTTGATAAAACCACAAAATATAAAATAATTAGTTTGTATTTATAGGCATTTGAATTATTTTTACAGTTATAAATTATACAAAAAAATAACTAAACATCTGACTTTCGGTGTAGGCTTTATCAGTTATTGTTGTTTATATTTACTACACTCATTCAAGTTTGTATGACCACTTGATTCACTATTAACTTAAAACAACACACAATTTTTCGAGTTTTTCAACACCAAATTCGTATTGGATAACAGTTTTGATAGTGTTGGAAAAGACGAAAAAAAGCTATAAAAAGGTATTGCAGGTCATATTGTTGTGAGAGTCTTTGTGTGTTTAACACTAATGCACTGAGTGCTTTAGTTATCTCTCGGCTTCGCGACTCCTGGTTTATCAATCTCAATCGTTTGATGGGTTAATATCACATTTAATGTAAACTCTTTAACTCAAATGACGAAAATAAGTATGATACATAAAATATAAACTGTAAAATTAAGAATACATTTTGCATTGAATCGTGTTATTTTAAATAATACCATTCAATAACAAGCGTTGAGGTTGAGGAGAATTTCTCGAAATATAAAGAATTTAACTAAAAAAAAGTGAATAAAGTAGTACAAATGAAAGTACAAAAATAGTCATACTATAGTCTCAGTTCTTTAAACAACATCCTTCCGCTGTGTTTAAACAGCAAGTAATGGTAGAAAAGTAAAGAGACAAACACATGCAAAATGGTTTAACCAATAGAGACGGAGAAACAAGTTTGAACAAGAAAATAAGAAAAGGGAGTTAAGTAAAACAGATTTGAGGGAAATTTTATTTTATCTCCCCCTTTTTTTAAATTAAATCCTTTTCCTACCCTACAATGTGCATGTTTCTTTACCTTTTTACCATCATTCGGTGTTTAGTCACTGAGGAAAGTACTTGTTTATAGAACCGAAACTATAGT